CAGCTCCCTGGCGCGTGTCTTGTGTCAGCACCATGGCGCATGCAGCAGCAGCTCCCTGGTGTGTTCCTGGTGTTAGTAAGAAGATCTCCAGCAAGTGCAGACAGTTGCTTTTGACTTCTCTCACTCGAACTCCAGCTGTTTGTCTTGCTGTAGTGTCTCATTGCCGTTCCATCAGAGCTGCTGTCCAAGCTGACAATTTCAATCTTTTGCAGTCAGAGATCAATATAATATGCTATCAAGATGTATTAATAATTAATAATAATAGGTGACTGGAATGCAAAAAGTGGGAAGAGAGAAGGAGGGTCAGTAGTTGGAAAACATGGACTTGTAACAGAGATGAAGCTGAAGATAGAAGGATAGAATTTTGCACAATGAATGATTTATTCTTTTCATATACATTTTATAATAAATATAAATGCAGGGTATACACATGAATTTCACCTGATGGTATGCATAAGAATCAGACGGATTATATTTGTGGTAAGAACTGCTAGAGAAACTCAATATCAGCTGTGAAAACTAGGCCAGGTGCTGGTTGTGGAATAGACTGTCACTTAATCATATGCAAGTGCAAGCTGAAGCTAAGGAATATTAAATCAAGTCCATGGGAAACAAAATATGATCTTGAGTCTATCTCACTTGAATTTTAAAACCATATGAGGAATAGGTTTGTGGCCTTGAACACTAATGAATGAAGACTGGTTGAGTTGTGGGTGGATATAAAGAATATCATCCAGGAAGAATGTAAAAGGTAATTACAAAGATAGAGGAGGAAGAAAAGACCAAGGTGGATGTCAGAAGACACTCTGAATATTGCACTAGAGTGCTGCGAAGCCAAAGCAAAGGAAAGCAATCAAGATATTAAGGAGCTGAAGAGAAAATATTTCAAAGAACAGCACAGGAAGACAAAGTAAAGTATTAAAATGAAATGTTCAAAGAGCTGGAGTCAGAAAATCAAAGGGGCCGAGCTCAGTATTTTGTAAGCTCAAGGAACTGAATAACAAATTCAAGCCTTGAGTTGCAGTACTTAAGGATGCTTTGTACAGAATATCAAATAATCCAGAAAGTATTAAATCAAAATGGAAAGAGTATAAAGAGTCAGTATACCAAATTGGCAGACATAAGCATTTCATGAAACAATGTATGAGCAAGAGCCTGTGGTGATGAAGGAAGAAGTTCAAGCTGCTCTGAAAGAATTGGCAATAAACAAGGCCCCAGAAATTTATAGTATACCAATTGATATATATCAGCAAACAGATATTGCCCTAGATGTGCTTGCCAAGTTGTGTCAAGAAATCTGGAGAATAACCACCTAGCCAACTGACTGGAAGAGATCTATATTTGTTCCTATTCCAAAGAAGGGTGATCTGACAGAGTGTGGAAATTATTGAACAATATCATTGATATCACATGCAAGCAAGATTCTGCTACATATTATACAATAACCACTGGCACAACAAAACAGCAGAGAACTGCAAGAAGTGCAGGCTGGGTTTAGAAGAGGGTGTAGTACTAGGGATATTGTAGCTAACGTTATAGATGGATCTTGGCTGCAAGCAGGGACTGCTAGAGGTATGTCTATCTGTGTTTCATTGACTATGCAAAGGCATTTGACTGTGTGGACCACAACCAACTGTGGCTACTTCTTAGAAGAATGGGATTCCCAGAACACTTGATTGTGCTAAAGCAAAACCCATACTTGCACCAGGAGACAGTTGTCAGACAAAGCAAGGAAACGCTACCTGGTTCAAAATTGGGAAGGGTGTATGGCAGGAATGTATGACAGGAATGGCTCTATCTCTATACTTTTTCAATCTATATGCAGAACAGATCTTCCGGGAGGCTGGGCTCTGTGAGGAAAAATGTGGCATTAGGATTGGAGGAAGACTCAACAACAATCTGTGTTATGCAGATGAAACAATCCTGCTTGCTGAAACTGAGGAGGACCTGAATCACTTGCTGCATAAGGTCAAGAACTGCAACCTTTGGTATTGATTGAAGCTCAATTTAAAGAAAACAAAGATTCTCACTACTGGGTCAATTGGCAGTATCATGATAGATGGAGAAGAGATTGAGATTATTAACAGCTTCCCCCCCCCCATTGGCTCCTCAATCAATACTCTTGGCACCAGCAGTTAGGAAATTAAGACGTATTGCATTGGGAAAGTCAGAGACCTCTCCAAAATACTGAAGACTAATGATGTCAGTCTCGAGACTAATGTGCACCTGATACAGGCCATGATCTTTGCAATAACTTGCAATGCATCCACGAGCTGGATAATTACTAGGGATGATAGAAGGAAAACTGATGCCTTTGAGCTGTGCTGTTGGAGAAGTGTATTGAATATACATGGACTGCTAAGAGAATAAACAGGTTTTTCCTGAAGACCAGGCTACTCCTTGGAGTAGAGGATTCTGAAGCTTCCTTTGACATACTTTGGACATGTTTAAAGGAAATACCAGTCCTTGGAGAGGGACATCATGCTTGGGAGGGTGGAGGGACAGCACAGTAGAGGAAGACCACCAATGAGATGAATTGATTCAGTGACTGGCTTAGTGGGGGTAGGTGTGTCAGAGACAGTGAGATTGGCACAGACTAGAGCAGGGTTTAGGGTTATTGTACATAGGGTCACTATGAATTGCAGGCAACTTGACAGCACATAACAACAACAACATGTTGCATATTGGTCCAGTGTTAAGAATTTTTGTTTTCTTGACATTGAGATACAATCCATATTGAAGGCTATATTCTTTTATCTTCTGCAACAAGTGCTTCATTTCCTCCTGACTTTCAACAAGCAAGGTTGTATCATCTGCATAATGCAGGTTATTCATAAGTCTTCCTCCAATGTTGATGCCACAACATTCTTCTTCTTCATAAAGTTCAGCTTCTCAAATAATTTGCTCAACATAAAAATTGAACAGGTATGGAAACAATACAATTCTGATGCACTCCCTTCTTAATTTTAAACCATATTTTGTTCTCTTGCTCTGTTCACACAACAGTTTCTTGGTTTCAATATAGGTTCCACATTAGTACAATTAAGGGATAGTGTTGTCAACTTTAAGGGACATAGTTCTCTGTGGGAGAAATATGGGCAGTTTCATCCCAAGCTCTTGAGTGCCTCTGAAAACCCACTGGAGGGCTAAATGTGGGTATATATCAACAAGAACAATGTGCCTTTCCATATTTCCTGACTACTTGTAGCAAGGATGTTGATTGTTGTTCCAAGACAGATGAGATCATTGACAATTTCAGTGTTCTCTCCGTTTATCATAATGTTGCCCTTTAATAGAATGGTGAAGATTTTTCCCCTTGGTTTTGTGATTTAATCCATATTGAAGATTGCAATCTTTGATTCTCTTCAGTAAGCAACTCAACTGCTTCTTACATGATATTGCTGTGGTAGAGATTTTTATGCCTTACGCAATAGCAAGTTCTTGATCTGAAGTCACTGCTCTAGGAGAGGGTGGGGCAGCTACCTTGCCTGGGTTTCTCTCTAAACTTCTGACTCAAGGGAAGATTTGATTCAGTTCAGGAGAGAAAGTTTTATGAAAGCAGTATCTTTATGTCAGATAACTGCTGCAATAGGCCAGTCTTTGATGCTCTGGTCTATTGGCAGTTAATTGACTGGACGCAAGGAGACACAAGGTGGAGAGTGGAGGTGCATGCAGTGTGGGTGTGCACGGAGACCTGAATGGAAAACCAAGAAGCCTTGGTTTTCCCTTAGAGAAGTGGGTCTGCACCCTCACTCGAGCTCCAGCTGACTCACTCCCTTCTGCTTGAGTTTAAAGTGTCTCTTGTGGACCAGCCAAACAGCACTGATCTCCACAAAGTACCTCACTCAAATTCCTGTGCATCATTCCTGGAATCGCTCCTGCCACATTGCTCTCACTGAGAAAATGCTATGGATTAGCACAGCTCACTCTTGGCTCTCAGTATACAGATGTTCAAATATTCCTCACTTCTGCCTGAGACTCTGATTGGGAGTGGAGGGAAGGAAAACCCAAAGGCCAGCCATTTCATCAGTCAGATCTTAGCTTGACCTCACAGTCTCATACTGTGTTGTGCCAAAGGTGTCATAATGGTTAATGGTCCTAGAGTCTCTCCAAGGCCTGTCTGTCCACATCATATAGAAGAATTTCTTCTTCTAAGTGGTTCTTAGGCTTGCTGGTGTCATGAGTGATGGCTCCATGCCCCATCTGAGAGGTGGCTAACTCTGGATAACCAATGTTAAGGTGTGGGGGAAGAGTGAAGTTGTCTCAGAAAGGCCAGAACAAGAACCTGTTCTATCCAGAGGTCCAGAACAGCTGGGAAAAGGTCCAGAGGTATGATTCAGTGTTTGGTCACATGTGGCCCAGAGACAAGTGAAGCAATATCTCCCACTTTTTCCTGAGCAGGTGCATGTTCAGAGCTGGTGCATACCTGTGGGGGGTTGGCAGGAATACCAGATGAACTCACTTCAGGACACAGGCTCTATGACAAATGGCTTATTTCCTAAGAGTGGCTAAGAGCGTCCCATGGGTCCTCGTGTGCTTGGACCATCAGGGAAAAGTAGCTGTTTTGTGGGGGTACAATATGTTCCAGAAGGCACAACTGGCACACGTTCACCAAGGGAGAGACACTGTGCAAATCCACAGAGAAAGGAGGTTCGTACAGAGGTCTGATGATGGAGGCATTTCAGCTGGACTAGAAAGGTCTGTAGAGTGTGACCAGTGAAATAAAAGGTGAAACCAGGTTGGGGCAGTAGGTGCACCGGGTGAAAGGACAACTGTGAAGGTGGAAGTGTGGAATGTGCTGGTGTTGGGAGGCAGGCTGTGCACTCAGAGCCAGCTGGAGGGTGCTATGTGCTCTACAAGCCTAATGGATATAAAATGACCATTCTGTGTGCTATATCATTCCCACTGTTGTTGCAATGAGGAGAAGCAGATGTCTAGAAAAGTGGCTTGTAGTCATTCTGGCAAAGCTTCCATAACATGTAGTGTTCCCTTCTCTGCAGGAGAACCACTGTCGGCGTATCAAGATCCTGGGGGACTGCTACTACTGCGTGTCAGGCCTCACCCAGCCAAAGTCTGATCATGCCCACTGCTGTGTGGAGATGGGGCTTGACATGATTGACACCATCACGTAAGTGCATCCAGGGGGCTGAGCTAGACCAGAAGGACAAGCTTGCAGGCCCACCTTCTGCCCCACACAACCTCCCTTATAAGGTCCTATTTGATAACAAGTTAGTGTGTCTCCTGGTATGGTCAATTTTGCTAGGGTTGTGAGGATCAGGGTCACATCAAGAGGAAGCTGGATTCAGCAAGTATCCCTAAGGTGTTGAGTGTTGCTTAGATAACTCATCCTTTATGTTATGTCTATGATTATTTCATTGTCTACAGAAGACCCTCATCATGGGTGTGGACTGTATTGTTATATGAGATCAAGATAGAACAACTCACAGGTGACCCTTCAGCTGGTTTTCAGAGTCTGTAAATCACACAGGAGGAGATTACTCATCTTTCTTCCTCAAAGCAGTTGGTGGGTTCAAACTTCCTGCCTTTGGGTTGGCAACAAAACTTCTTACCTACTAGACCAACAGAGCTCAGCTGTAGGCGTGCATTGGTCATGTTTAAAAACACCACCCTGTGCTTAGCCAAGTGAGATATCTAGGGGCATAGCTAGGGTGAACACTTGTATCAGTGCAACTGAAATCCATTTCAAATGGAGATGCATGTCCTCACTGCTCACCAAGGCCTCATATCTTGTATAAGGAAAGATGGCTTGGCATTAGGGTGAATGGTGTTCATTGCTGGCAGAAGGGAGTTTTGTCTGCTCTTTCTTGGTTGGGTGCTTGTTTTTTTCCAGGGTTTTTGTTTTGTTTTAATAAAACAAGTTACGGGATGCTACAGAGCTAAGAAATTAATCTGATGGTCTGGAGGATCAAAAACAAATATAAAAAGTCTGGCATGAAAGATATGACACAGTAAGATGAAGTCTAGAAGGGATTATTTAAAAAATTGACACTTGGGAACAGTAAGTTTATAGCGTAATAATGACATGAGGGGAATGTGGCTGCTCAGATGAAAGAATAAATAGAACATGATAATAGACAACTTCAGAAAATCCTTCACTGAAGAACACTTTAAAGATTGGGGTTACCATCAGGCTGCATGTGAGCCATCCTTGTGATGTGGACTCCAGGAAAGGAGCACATGTTTAGGCTGTGTTAGTCGGAGCTAAGAGTTAGCAGAGAGGAAACCACCCATAACCCTGGACTCCATCTTGTCAGAGTGTGAACATGGTAGAGTCGTTTAGGCAGGGGTTCTTAAGCCTAGAATCACACTGGATCACCGAGAGAATTTGCAAACACTGGTTCTGGCTTGCATCGGAGTCTGATGTAATTAATCTGGGTGATAATGTAGGCACTGCAGTTTGTCAGCATTCACCAGCTGATTTTAGTATGCAGCAAAATGTGAAAGTGAATGCTTTAGAGAAGAAAAACCAGATTGGAGCAGATGCTTATAGCATGATCAACAAAGGTGAAGGAACTAAAAATGTCTGGATCTAGAAAATGAAAATAAATCGGAATTTTGTTTCTTCTAAGTCATGATATTTTGCACCTTATTCAAGCCATGATATTTTCAGTTGCTTCTTATGCATCTGAAAATTGGACAGTGAATAAGGAAAACAAAGAAATAACACCTTTTAATCATAGTGCTGGTGAAGCACATTGAATAAACCATGGGCTGCCAAAGAAACACATTTCGAGGAAGTCCAACCAGGTGTTTATTAGAGGCAAGGATGGTGAAACATCATCTCACATACTTTGGGCTTGTTGTCCAGAGGTGCCACAAAAAACACATTACGCTGGGAAATTTGTAGGATCAGCAAAGGAGAGAAAGACCCTGAATAAGATGCCTTGACACAATGATTACAACAGTGAGCTTGAGCATGGTGGGTATTGTATTGTGAAGATTGTTCAGGATAGGGTAAGGTTTCAGTATGTTGTTCGTAGGGTTGCTATGAATTGTAGTCAACTTTATAGCATCTGATAATCTTAAGTGAGTTCGTTGTAATTACTGTTTAGCTTGAAAGCCAAACTCAAAGTTCTCCCACAATAGAAAGACCTTGTTGACAGTTCTACAAAGATGTGCATCCAACCAATTTTCTGGTAATATTTCAAGATTTAAATCTGTTGTTCATGGGGTCATTAAAATTAATAGGTGATTCTACTACATTTTACAACAATCTGAAAGTACAGTATATTATATGCCCTATCATCTTAGATTAATCGTTATTACTGATTTGCATTGCCATCAACTTGACTGTGAGTCATAGTGACTCTATAAACAACAAATATGAACTATGCTTTATCTCTGTCCTGCTCAAGCCCATTGTGCTAATCATTGTGTCAGTGCATCTGGATGAGGGTCTTCCTTTTACTGATCTTTTCTAGCATGATGGCTCTTTCCAAGGAGTTGTTCCTCCTGAAAAGATATTCAAAATAAGTGAGACAAAGTTTCACCATCCTTGTCTCTAAAGAACACTCTGGTTACACTTCTTCCAGGACAGGTTTGTTTGTTCTTTTGGCAGTCTGTGGTATATTCAATATATTCTTCTGTAACATCACATTTCAAAGGCACCTATCCTTCTTCTACCATCCATATCTGTATTCGGATACACAGGAAACAACTGAAAATACCAAGGCTTGTATCAGGTGTGCCTTAGTCTTTAAACTGATATCCTTGTCCTTTAGAATGTTGGAGATGTCTTTGACAGCAGATTTCCTCAGTGCAATTGGTCTTTTGATTTCTTGACTGCTCTTGCTATGGATTTTGATTGTGGGTCCAAGCAAAATGAATAATTGAAAACTTCAACCTTTTCTTCATATCTCATGTTGTTGTCTATTGGTCCAATGGTGAGGATTTTTGTTTACTTGATGTTGAAATGTAACCCATCTTGAAGAAATCCTTTGCAGTAGGTGTTTCAAGTCTTCATTTTCTGCAAGTAAGTATATAATACTTTGTATCACTTATGTTATAAAATTACTATTTTTGCATATTCATATATCATATATATATGGGAATTTTATGTAATTACATCAAATCTATATAATGAATTATATATCATAATGAATCATATTCATTATATATCATATGGATCATATATGTCAGTCTCACAGTACATTAGTTATATCCTATCAATCACATATCTCATTCTATAATTTATTCTATGTAATATTCTTGGGGTAAAATAGGTGGGTGATGTGAGGAGATAACTGTCACTCTTCCATTTAGTAAATTTTTATGCAACTCCTGTTGTATTTCAAGCACAGATTGGATTCACAGTAGCCTGTGAGCTCCTAAAACTGGGCTTACCTATTGCTAGTGTTGCTGAACCTTCTTACCTGAAGATCTGTGGCCCTCATTGAACCAAAGGAGAAGCTCCCATGAGAACTCTGGATTTCTCTTCCATCTCCTCATGCTACTTTTCATGACTGACTGGGTGCCCTATAAAACATCATCTCCTAATGTTACTCTCAGTTTCCCCTGCAGCTTCATAAGCCTAGATTAACCTTCAGATGACTCCTGGCTTTAGTAGCACTGCCCCTTTCATTCATCTTGTTCCTGTCTGCTTGACTTGCACATTTATGTGCTATAAAATGTCTCTGGGGGGAGACAGGAAGCCCCAACTCACCTCTTTCTGTTCTGTACATGGTAGTAGACTGACTGAGCTGATTGTCAGGACCCTGCCCTGTTTTCCTCGACTTTATGATCGATTTGATATGTGAAACTTCAATATCCTGTTGGTTGTTATTGAAGTCTTGAGATCTTGACTTCAGTGGTCCCATCTGTTGGAACTAGCTTCTTGACTCCAGTGCTGATGCAGGTATCCTCCAGGGCTCATGGACCTTCCTCTGCTTTGATGCCAGAGTTCAGAGAATCTATAGGGCTTGGGATAGAATGGACAGAACATCAGTGTCTGTCCTCTTGGGCATCCAGTCTTACAAAGGAAGGAGAGTCACCAAGCAAACTACTTGGAAAGATTGTCCCTCAAGCCTTTTCCCCTCCTCTGACTAGAGTATGGGGCAGGACAATGTACTCTCTGTGAAGACCCCAAAGGGAACATCATCATTTGCAGGTTGTTGGTTCCATCAGCCACTTGTTCTTTCACATGGAACTTCTCTCTATGTTGTTGTTATGTGCCATTAAGTTGGAACCAACTCATAACTGATCCCCCTAGTGAGCTTTCAGAGGCAGTAAATTACATGGCAAGAGAGTGCCCATGTTTCTCTCATGAAGTAGTTTGTGCATTCAAACCATATGCCTTTCGGTTGTCAGTGCAGCTCCTTACCACTAGACAATCAATGTTCCCTCAGAAATCCTATAGGACAATTATATTAATCATATAATAGCTCTACATACCCAGAGGTGAATTTTTGTTTATTTTCCTTCTATCTCTGAATAGACTTCTTGTTTTCAAATTTTGAAAACAAAGTAATTTTTTCAAGAAGAATAAGACTAGCAAATGTAACCTGAGGCAGCTCTCTGCAGGCAGGACCAGCACTAGGCTTGAGCCAGACCTAGCACATTCTTGCAGCCGCTGGGGAGTAAGCACTCTCTTTTTGCCTGCTTCCTCCTATGTGAGCACCTTGGTTCTTCAGGAAGCTCTTCTCTCTCCTCTTTCCTAAGGAGCAGGCAATGGCATATATGTGGCAGTGGTGCCTCGGTGTGGCTTTTCACCAGATGGTTTGTTGTTGTTGTTAGGTGTTTTAAAGTCTATATCTAATGTAAAAAGTAAATAGCACCTATTGAGTGAGAACATGTAAATAAGATGTGTAGCACATTAGAGGAGATTGGTCAGTTTTGCCATCCCACCAGGCTTAAATTGAGCAGGTTCAGAATTAGAAAATGAGAATCTCATTACTATAAAGAAAGAATAAGTGGAGTATGCAGGGAATCATTTTGGGCCAGAGATTCTTGCACTGGACAGAGACTCAGATAAGCAGCAGAGGCAGTGGAGGACTAGACTGTCTTGACACAGAACTGAACTAGCTCAGGCCCCATGGAGCCAGAGCTGAAGATCTTTGCCTGGTGGTCCCAGTAGTTGTCAGAGCTAAAGGAGCTGTGTGAACACTGCCACAGAACCTTGAAGGAGAACTCAATGAGATTGAAGACCAGTTGAAGTTGAAATCCAGTGAGCATGTCTGGAAAGGTGTCCTGACTAATGAATTATGTGCTGTTTCTGGCCTAAATTATAACCTGTTAGTTCCCCAGTAAATCCCATAATCATGAGTGTATTATGTGAGTTCTGTGTGGCCATTGCAACTAGAACAGTGAGATTCATGGAAGGGACAGTTGGTGCTAGAGTTGTTGATAGAATTTCTTGTCCCCATCTGGAGTTGATGGAAGTTAAACCCTTCCACCCCCCATACCAGCCACACAGTTTTCACATCACATCAGGATAAACTCAAGTGACTGCTGGTTTACTACTTGTTTTGAAAGGGCCCATGACAGGCCCCAGATGATTGGCACTAGGCTATGGATAATGAAGAAGACGAAGAAGACATATGATTGCCTTTTCAGGGCTGCGATTTCAAGTCCTTGCCTGAGGTCAGAATTCTGAGTGGCAGAGAACCAAAGGCTTGAAATGAGAACTCTGCTAGGTGTAAGCTTCTAGATCGCTGATTGTAGGCCACGTGGTCCCTGCTGGTTCTCTTTACAGAGGAGGGGAGGTGCCTCTGGTCCAAACCCCCAGCAGTGTGGACACCTACTGGACCTGCTAGTTCTTTTAAAACCTGACGACAAGTTTGAAAACTTGAACTGCTAAGCATCAGATTGACCCTTGAAAGGACCACATTTCCAACTACTGAAATAAAAGAATAACTTGACAAAGTAGATTGGAACTGAGAAAGACATTGCTGTAAGGTAGGAACATGTGCACATACAGCACACGTAGCAATGAAAGCAGTGCAGTGTATGTCTGTTGTCATCATTTCTGGAAAATCTTGAGAGAGAAGGGAGAGAGGAATGACTGGGAGAGGGAGAGTGAGATAAGAGAGGGTAAGGGAAAAGAGAGGGGGAGGGAGGAGGGACACAGATGAGTGGACTTGAGATAATAATAGACAATTCACACAAACAGACTCTAAAAAGATTGGAGATTAGATTTTATTCCTTGAGAATGAAGTTAGGGGTTCTGTTTGGTCTAGGCAAGTCAGCTTGAACATTCAAGGAACAATAAAGTTGGAGGACATTGGCTTATTTTGAAGCAATTGTTCTGTCAAGTATGGATTGAATGTTGCTAGATTTGAGATATTGATATTTGATGCAGAAGCTACTAGAAAAAAGAAAAGAAAGCAAGTTGGAGAATAGAAGTAGAGAGAGAATGCTGGGTTGGGAGGGCAGTGAGACTGCATGGGGATAGTTATGGACCCAAGAGGAGGCCTTGGTGTGGGACATTGGACACCAAGGAGTACCATGGTACACCAGTGAAAGTGGATGGATGAGATTGACTGCCATCCTTTTGTAATGTACTCCATCATACCTGTGGAAGAGGTTGGATGCCATCCTTGTGCAGTGTATTCCCATCATACATGTAGAAGTCAGACACTGTTCTCATGCAATCAGTATACCCCATCATACCTGGGCAGTGTACCTCATCATCCTGTGGAAGAGGTCAGCTGCTATCCATGTGCAGTGTACCCCAACACACCTGTGGAAAAGGTCACCCACTGTCCATGCAACGTACCCCAACACACCTGTGCAGTGTACCCAACCATACACCTATGGAAGAAGTCAGCTGTTATCTTATCCTCATGCAGAGTACCCCAAAATACTTGTGGAAGAGGTTAGATGCTGTCTTCCTGAGGTCTACCCCAACATACCTGTGGAAGAGGTCAGCTGCTGTCCTTGTGTAGTATAGCCATCATACATGCAGGAGTAGTGCCAAAAGGTCACAGAAACAGCTGGGCAATTTTAATTACTTGGTGTTTTAGATTGATTTGTGAATTTTGAAAAATTAATTCTAACATTTTTTTCACTGTCTCTAATTGAAAAGTGACAAACAGCATGCTGAGCCTGTGCAAGCGGTGGTGTGACATGGTCTCACGGTGTGGCCTTCACTGGAGTAGTTAGGCCTCCAGGAGACTTATGGGCCCAAGGAACCTCTTGGGCTCCAGCCTAGGCCTGGGAACTGAGGAAAGTGTTGTAGTGCAATTGCGTATGGCCTACTCTCCAAGAGCTCATCCGTACCCTTCAGGGAGCTAGCAGCTTTTGGCCATTCAGGAGGCCCTTCTGTTTGTATTGCAGATCTGTGGCGGAGGCCACCGAGGTGAACCTGAACATGCGAGTGGGATTGCACACAGGCCGAGTGCTCTGTGGGGTGCTGGGCCTACGCAAGTGGCAGTATGATGTGTGGTCCAACGACGTGACCCTCGCCAATGTCATGGAAGCTGCTGGTCTGCCAGGGTAAGTTGGGTGAGGAAGTGGGCCCACAATAGGCTGTGCATGTCTTTCTCAGGGTTCTTCACTCCTGCCAGTCTCCTTCAGCGAGCAAGGCTTGCCTAGCCTACATTTGATGGAGTGCATTCTTGTGTGGCCAGTCTCCACAAAGAAAAATCTCTCATCCTTGAGAACTGTCCATAGAATCTAGCTTTGCTGATGATGTAGTTCATGGGACAGGTGGTGGTGCGCATGCTGCTGATGTGGGCTCTCACTACCCTACTATTTTATTCTGTTTGGGTTTTGGGTTTTTGTTTTGTTTTTTTTAAGAAAATCTCTGCAGACAGTGCTGTGACGTCCACAAGGTCCTTCTTGACATGGAAGGAACTTCCCATTGTCTTGTTCACTGAAAGTACCTTTTAATTATAATGACCTCCTTTGGTTTCATTTTTTCCCCACAATACATAATATTCTGTCAAATATTAAATCAAGAATGGAGTGAAAATTTTTCCTTTATTCCTTCCTCTACACAGTAGACATAGGAGAATATTGCTCTTGCAAAAAAGGGAAGCCTGGGATTGGCTGCTAGACCACCACCATGCAGTTACTCAATCTTTTTTATACCCATTTGTTTCTTCCTGTAAAAGAAGGGAAAAGAGTGTGTCTTGCAAAGTTGTTTGGGATTAGCTGTGGTACCCAAACACAAGATTGAGCATCCTGCCTAGTTCACTAGGTCGGCTTCTGTAAAGTACCTCTCGTGGACCTCCTGTGTAGCTTGTAGTTTCCCGTGGAGCATCCCTGTCCACCATGAGACTCAGATCCTTCTGAATAGCACCAGACTGCCCCCTGCCTACCCTACACCCCTAAGAGAGGGGACCCTCCTCTGGTCATGCATCTTCCTCAACTCAGGGGAGGTAGGTTGAACCAAATAGCACCTTTATGTTGAGCCAATGGTCCTTGGGATGGTGACTCTTCTAGAGAAGTTGCCATTTCAGGCAATGGCCCCAAATCACAAAAAGCAGAATTGTAAGATTCATAGAAATAGTGCATACAGTAATTAAAGCAAGTGTATAAAGGAGGAGGCAGGCAGAGGTATGGGCTAACAGTCTTCCTTGACTTGTTGCTGAGCTTGTCAGGGAAAAGGTGACCAGTTCAACAGACCCTTGGATTTCTAATGAAACTTGATCATAGACTACTGTGGTCTTTATCTACACCATCACCCAGCTCAACCCCAAACCACTCCCACTATCTTTGAGCACCTGACCTTAGGCATTGGTTTCAGCATATTCTTCCTTCCTTCTTCCTGGAAGATACAAAGCCAGATAGCAGAGCCACTTGACCTTCCTTATCTCCAAACTCACCTCTCTCACTTCTCTGTCATTCAATGCCCATGTTTCAGTAGGGCTTTCTGGCTGCTCCTGCCCACCAAGCCTACTGTGTCTAGCAACTGGAGTGGGTTTTCCCTTGTTTACTGCCCTCTAGATAAAGTCCAGGCCCTTAGCTTAATGTTCACCCCATTCCTGAGCGCTAGCCACTGAGAGCTGTGCACATTTCAGTCACTTTGAATCAGTGTGGGTTTTAGAACCCAGAGTCTTCCCACCTGACTCTTCTTGTGATGTTCTTTTCCTAACAGAGCACCACTGCAGTGACTGTCACCATGCAAGGCAGACTGTCATGCTTTCTTCTATCCTGGGTGCCACACACATTGGCTATGGTGCAGTTGTTCATGGAGTGGCCATGTCACTATGCAGGACAGACTGTCACACTGTCCTCCACCCTAGGTGTCTCTTAACAGAGCACCACTGCAGTGACTTGTCACCATCAAGGCAGACTGTCACACTTTCCTCTATTCTGGGTGCCACATACACTGTCTGTGGTGCAGGTGTTCATGGATTGGCCATGTCACTATGCAGGACAGACTGTCACACTGTCCTCAGCCCTAGGTGCCACACACATTGTTTGTGGTGCTGATGTTCATGCAGGACCAACTCTCATACTGTCCCCTGCCCTGCATGTCATACAACTAACTGTGGTGCTGGTGTTCATGGAGTGGCTATGTCACCATGCAGGACAGACTGTCACACTTTCCCACACCCTGTGTGCCGCACACACTGTGGCTGTGGTGCTGATGTTCAAGCAGCCACTCTCCCTGTTGTCCTCTCTCTCTCCTCTTCTTTTCTTCCTTATTGCCCCACATTCTCCTTCCTGAGCAATGCTGCAAAAAAAAAATCTCCTGCAGCAGAACATCTAAAAGTCCTTGGTGTGTGCAGATGTGATACACACCTGTTTGATACTAAACAAACAAGGCTATGCCATGTGGGATTTACACCTCTGGGGAGATGGATGGTGCCTCATGTGTGGAGTTCTGAAGTAAACCTGTTGGTGTATGAAAGCTCCAATGGTGAGAGGAATCTTAGTAGTTGAGGCTGGGGTGCTGGGACATACACAGGGAATGGTGGGCCCCATTAACTGATAGGACATAGGCTGGGGGGAAGCTTGTTGAGTTTGGAGTTCTCTCAGGTGCCAGGCCATGTCTCAGCTTGGTGGTGTATATTTGAGAATCACCAAGATATTCTAACTTACTTCCATCAATCAGTTCTGACTCATAGTTGATCCTTCATTGGTTTTACACAGCTTGAAGGGAAAATGGGAAGATACTGCCTATCTTCTTCCAAGAGAGCTGCTGGTAGATTTGCATCACCAGAGATGTGCAGCCTTTGAGTTACAATTGCAATTCTCTGCAGATTATGACACCAGAGCTCCCCATCTATAGCATGTATGTCAACAGGACTAGATAGTTAATCCCATAGTGCCAGTACTGCTTACCAGAATTGGCCCACAGGCACTCAAATTCCACACCCAGCTCCATGCCAGCAAGCCAGATTCTTACCCAATTAAAGTTTGAGAATAGGTTGAGAGCATTTCAGCACCAAGATCTCTAATCATTCACTTAACTAGATACAACTGCATGAGGGAACTTCTGAGGGAACCAGCTACTAGATGGTTCCATTACTTTCTCCCCTTTTGCCAAGGGGTGGGGGTGGTATTATTGAGGAAGAAAAGAATACATCAAGAAGGACTTAGCCCTGTTCCTTACCACTGGATAAATCTGTGAGAAGAGCTGCAAGCCGTGGGGCAAGAAAGGCCTCATGTTGCACAACAATGGTGTCTGAAGCCTGGTGACAAGAGACTTTGTAGAGGTGGGATGAGACGTTGTAAAGGCACATTATAGCTTGTCTTGGAAAGAAGACTGCTCAGCAAAGTGGCTGCCAAGACAGAAGCTAGAAGGAGGAGCTGGAAGGGTGGGTAGGGTGAACAGGGCCTCTTTCACTGTTAGTACCCAAAGGGGGCTGTGGATTGTCCTCATTCTTCTCTTTATGGGCCACTGCTCTTGTGTTGTTTCCAATTTTGTCATTTTGTGTTTTTTTGCTATTTCCATCCATTTGTTCACAAATTTTTATGGAGCATCTCTCTGCCCATAGTAAGGTTGGGTGATGGGATCAGTGTTGGGATCCTTACACACCTGACTTCCAGAGAGTTCCGTGAGAGTGGTCAGAGGGACAGATGGACACAGTGTTTTTCTAGCCTTTGGTGTAAGTTTCTGTGACTGATCCAGGAGGCCTTTTGCAAAGGATTTATGGCCCAGAGTCTGCTTTGGAGAACCCCCCTCAATTTGAGAGAGGTGGAGCAAGCTGCTTGCTGTTCACCTGGCCTCACTGATTCCTCCAGGAACAGTGAGTGTGTCACACTGTGCACTACAAGGCACTGACCTCATCATACTCAGGACCCACACTACCCCTTCCTATGGACCACCTCTTCCTGCAATATACTATCTCCTAGGGTCATTGGGCCTTTAGCAAGGATGGGGCCCCAGTGGAAACACCAGGACATGCCAGGACTTGACGGGAAAACCCTAAGCAGAAGTTCCTGATGACCTTCTCTTCTCAGACCCTCTTCCTGAATCCTGCGGTCTACCTCTTTCTTGACAAGGCCTCTCACCGGTCCCTCTGAACCCTCCAGCAGCCTTACAGCATACTCATGAAATCAGAATTTCTGCCTGCAAGGAATTCAGAACATGTGCAGTGTCAGGGGCTTGGATCAGGGATTTGGAGAGAGTTTTAAGTGTAGGGGGTTTTTTTTGGTGGACCTGAGGCTATATAATCAGCCTTCTTCAACAGGAGAGGAAGCTATTTGCCTTGCCCAGCTCAGGGGGAGGACAGGTGAGTAGCTTCATGTTTGCTTTTTCTGCACATTTATACATATACTAACCCTGAGGGAATCTTCCTTTCTTCCCAGAAACCCCAGGAGGAAGCATGAAGCTGAACTGGACTCCATCCTCATTCACCCTTCCCTTTGAGGGATAGAAGACTCTGCTGTAAAGTGGTGGTGCCCGCTGGGGTGACCACCAGCTTCTGCTGACTAGACAGGACACCTCCCCTCCCACTGGGCCCAAGCCATTCTCCTGGGGATTCTGGGGGCAGACTATTTTTATTTCTTATCTCACTTTCACCTTTTCTTTTCTCACGTTCCTTGTGTAGTCCCCATTTTTTTCCCGGTTCCTTGTTTCTCCTCTGACCCCTTATCCATCCCATGCTACTCTTCTCTTTCACTTCCCCTTTCACTCTGCTCTGTCAGCCTGTGCCCACCTCTTCCTAGGTGATAACACATGCTGTATGGAACTTGTTGAATGGTATTCCTGCCCTGTGAACCAAACTTCTGGAGGAGGCAGAGTCCTCACCCATGACACTGCAGGCCTCAGACATTGATTGGCCCAGCTGAGAGCCCAAACCCAGGGCCCACAGCCGAGTCCCTAGGGCCCTTAGGACGGAGCAGCAGTTCATGACATCTTTCTAAATATCTGCTTCCTTTTTTGTAGGAAGGTTCATATCACAAAGACTACCCTAGAATGCTTGAATGGAGACTATGAAGTAGAACCAGGTTATGGACATGAGAGGAACAGTTTCTTGAAAACTCATAATATCAAGACATTTTTTATTGTGCCATCTCATCGGAGAAAGGTAGGCTTCAAAACTGCTCTTTCATTGGATTGCATTCCTGAAAAAAAAAAACAACCAAAAACCTAACCTGGGCCTTTCAAAGTTTTCTTTAAATCTCATTTTCTTGTGCTTCTTCCTAAATATGAACTTTGTAGTGACAAAAAATGATGGTCACCATGAAAGTATCTCCCTGGCTTTGCCTTCTTACATGTACAGAGAAGAGATGGAAAGAAAGGTGAGAGAGTCAGGAACTCCAAGGTAGATCAGGACTCCACTCTGAACAGCCTCCAGGTGGACCAACTTGAATTTTCCTCTCATCTTTCTGGGTCTCAATTGCTCTCTTGGAAAAAAAAAAAACCCAAAAAACAAAAAACACAAAACACATGAGTATGAAAATTCCTTGTAGAGAATAAGATGGAGCATGTTCTGTGAACTGAGAGGTGTAAGCCCAGTTGAGGGTTTGAGAACATTGCATTATGTGGCACCAGCAGAGAAAAGTGATATTGAGTGATGGTCAAGGGTGACCACACTCTAGGACCCATCTCTACATGTAGTAAATAAGAAAGAGCTGCCTTTATAAAAGCTAAACATAACTATTCAATTTTTTTTAAAAGAAATGCTCTCTGGTTCAATTTAAATCAGTAAATGAACTAGTGTTTATTTGTCCATCTCTCATTCTCACCATTTTTTCATGTCATGTCACCTGGTTTTCATGTCAGATTACATGCTGGTTTCTTCCTGTAAATGTCTCTTCATTGGGACATCACTTTGCAGGTGTGAGCTGATGCTGACTAACTGGACAGCTCTATGTCTGAGCCTTTCATGGTCTCCTTTGTGCCCCAGCCACCTTTTCCTCAGTAAGTGACCAGATCTGGATTATTGAAAGTCCTCTGAGAAGGCATGTCGTGTCTTCCTAACTCTGTATTGGCCCTGTCTAGGAAAAATTCTTGGTCTTTTTTCCTCTGAAACAACCATATGAGAGAAGATGTTTAAATGTGATCATTATAACTTCTTAGAGGCCCATCTTTCTCATTAGAAGGTCTCCCATCATTTTCTCACGAGACCTTGGCCTTCTAGTGACATGCTGATCACTCTAAGTCACACAGTGGGGCTAGGGTCCTTGTGGTCTGATACCTTGTTTTCTGTCCTGCGTATTAAGTACTATATATTTCTATAGTCTCGTGCTCTGATCTCTACCCTATACACTAAACTGGCAAGAAGTTGCACTGCAATCTCAAAAGCATGCAGTTCAAGGCCTCTAGCTGCTCCTTGAGAGAAGGGTGGGCAATCTCCTCCTGTGTGATTAACTGCCCCTGAAAACTCACTGGAGGGTCAGCTATGGATAGATTCTGACTCTATGGTACACAACAATAATACATTCATGTGCTTTCTAAGCATCTGTAAGGTTCTGTCCTGGGGCCTATCAAGTCCTGCCAGCCCACTGCTGAAGTGTCACAGCCCTGTGGCTGGACTACGTGTTGGTGGTTTTCTGTAGTAACATATTGGCTGAATAGCTTCTTGTGTTCACTGTCTGTATTCCTGTTGGAACCAATGAAGATACAAGTGGAACTGGGCTGCCAGCTCTAGAACTGTGATAGAATTAGCTTGTCTCAGGACCTTTACTACTTCAGTTTACACAGAAGTGTCCTGTGGTGGGGGAGGGGTCATGGTGTGTCTAGCAAGAAGACAGATAACCACAGCGATATTTAAAATTTCCCCCTGTTCTGTTTCAAGCATTCACTCAGCACCTATCGTGTGCTCAGATGAGAAGTGAGTAGTGTGGACATGAATCTATAAGCAGGTTCCTGCCCTTGAGTATGTTGCAGTCCAGTGAAGAAAAGGGCAGAGACAGGCTGACACATGTCAAGGGACTGGCATAAAAATGCTAAGAATGTATTTTAATGTACAAGGTTGAGAGCAGAACATGAGACTGTAGAAATATTAGAGTACTTAATATGCAGGACAATTGTCCTAAGATTAAAATATAAGGACAACAGGAAGCAAATTTGACAGCGGTCCAAGGATATCTTTTAAAGGAGGAAACTTAGATACTGAAAATGATAAGCTTACTCTGGTAAGACTTTATTTTGTGTGCTGAAGTTCTTTCCTGAAATGCCTTTACTGGCAGTCTCCTGACCCAAAGATACCAACACAGGATCCCTGAGCCCCCTGATTCTATAAGTAATGCACTGGGAAGTTTTGATTCACAAGATCCACCCTTCTCTTCATGTTACATCTAGGATATTCACATCACAGAGGCTCTTGTTTACTTCTTGGCCTTGCCTGGAGATGCCTGGATTGGGGAGAGGGGGCGTGGGTATCTTGTACTTGTGGCCACTAGAATAATATCTTAAAAATATATAACATATAAAAACAATGCCATCTTTGAAGTTGGTACTTTTATCAGACTAATAAGAACCACAAAAATAAGAATTTTGTGGATTCTTAATTTTCATAGAATGTAAACAGTTATTGTAAAGGCTCTTCATGAAGTCTTTGTGGTGATTACAAAGGGAACCTGCACATTATACATGCTATACCTAGTGGCGACATACCAGGCATGGGTGAACAGGGTTGCACTTTGGAGATAAGAGGAGGGAGGTGGTCAAGCTGATAGAATATATGACTAGCAGACTGGCATCAGGTTAAATAAAAAGCTGCTTCTACCAAAGGCAGAATCATAGTAAAAAAAAAAAAAAAAAAAAAGAAAGTCATTTCACATCACATTTAAGCCCATGGACCTGAAGCCTGGTCAAACCTGGATCAAAGTAAAGAGTTACAGCTTTGGGAAAGGGTGCTTGTGTTTGTTGATTCCAGTTCAGAAGGACTCTCCATGGGGTTTCCAAGGCTGTAAATCTTAATGCAAGAGACTGCTCATCTTTCTTTCAGAGAGCAGCTGTTTGAACTGCTGATTTTTTTGGTTCACTACCCAACAAATATGATACTTTACTACACCACCAGAGCACTGGCTTTACTGGAAGGCTTTCTCCTTCTGCCTCTGAGGAAAAGTTTTTGCCTTTTCCTGCTACATCTTTGTTCACTGACAGTCTACATTTGGCATAAATCACTCCTTGTTTGTCCATGATGCTTTGAAATCTAAACTGCTACTTTATATGTTACAAATGGCTTAAGCCTAATAACATAACAGTGAGAGCACCACTTGCCAGATGTGTGGTTATATCTGCATTTTTAAGTGTTAGGATTTATAACGTGTATTTTGGAGGTACACAAGCAATGCATTACACTTTCTCAACAGTAACTTCGGTTTCTAGTAAAAATAAAATAACTTATTAAATACAGAGCTGTACAGGACAGTTATGGTTCATAGTCAAGGCTAGGCCATTGTGCAAATGTGCAAGACATAACTAGCTTCTCAAAGGTTATGATATATGTGTGTATGATATTTGCATATAAATGTGTATGGGTATAAATGTGTGTATATTGTATCTATGTGAATATTATGTGTATGGTGAATGAGAGTATATGTGTGTATATGGTTTATGTGGGTATAAGTGTGGTATATGTGATACATGTATGTGTATTATGTATATGGATGTATATATATGGTGCATGCAGGGATATGTGTGTATTTGGGTAAATTTATATTTGTGGTATATGTATGAAGTCTCTGTACATATATGCATATGATGTATGTACTTGTATGTATGTATGCATATATTGTATGTGTGTGTTATATGTATGTATATGTGTATATAATGTATATGTGTTTATGTATCTATATATGTATGTATGTGGTATCTGTGTGAATATGCATGTTTATGGTATGTTGATATATGTTTGTGTGTACATATATTCTCAAAGAGGACCACAGAGGTTTCAGGGACCAAGAGGGGCATAAAGAGGTTCTAGGAAACCACAGTGCTCTCTCTATTTGGGTAGAGGCAGTTGTACTAACTAGTGTATTAACAAATATTGCCCATAAAATATTGCCCTCCAAAAACTTCTCCCCCACCCAAAATACACTAAGTATATAGTGTATTGGGCCTGGTCACATAGGATCTCTATGGAAGGGTCTTTGGTATTAGGTTAGCAGTAAGATAATTGGATATCAGGTGGATGCAGGAGCTATCGGGGCACTTCCAGAAAAGCTAAAGTTGGTGAAGAAGTTGAGGGTTCCTAGAAGGCTGGACATGATGATATAGTTAAGGACAAGTGTGTGGAAGCCTAGGCAGTAGTGGTTGAAGGCAGGAGTGGTATGAAGTAGATACAAATTCTAGCCCCTCACTGGGAGTTCAGATGATAGCATTTGGAAGAAACAAACAAAAAAGTGCTGGAAATTAGAAGAGGCCTTGAATTTGCTATTAAAAGAGAAATGAACATTTTTGTTAACTGAGAAAGAAATTCTGTGACCTACAGTTTGTTGCTCTGTAAAACACAGAAATGAATGAATTTGAGGGTATCAAGTGGTCTTTCCCTGACCCAAGTCCCTATCTCACCCTCTGCTCAGCCCCAGTGATTAAGAGTAATCACTATTCCTTTTAAAGGCCTTTAATGTAGTATTCAGGAAGCAGTCATCAGAACACAAGGAAACACTGTATGGTTCAAAATAAGAAAGAAGTGTATCAGGGATGTGTCCTGTGCCCATATCTTTTCAATTTATATGGGGAACAGATCATCTGGGAGGCTGGCCTTTATGAAGAGGAATGTTACATTATGATTGGAGGAAGATTCATCAACAACCTGCATTAGGCAGATGACACAACCTTGCGTACAGAAACTGAGGAGGACCTGAAGCATTGGCTGAAAAAGGTCAAAGTCTGCAGTCTTCAATATAGATTGAAACTCAATATCAAGAAGACAGATTCTCACTACAGCACAAATAGACAGCACCATAATAGATGGAGAAGAGATTGAGATTGTTAACAGTTTCGTCTTACTTGGCTCCACAATCAACACTCTTGGCACAAGCAGTCAGGAAATAAAAAGATTAATTACATTAGGGAAATCTGTAGTCAGGGACATCCCCAAAGTGCTAAAGAGTAACAACATCAGTGTGGATACTAAGGTCCTCCTGATTCAGGCTATGGTCTTTGTGATTGCTTGGTATGCATCAAAAAGTTGAACAATGACTAAGGATGACAGAACACGAATCGATGTCTTTGAGTTGTGGTGTTAGAGAAGAGTATTAGACTGCCAAGAGGATTAACTGGTCTGTCCTGGAGAGGGTGAAACAAATTTTCTCCTTGAAGGCTAGGATTTTGAAGCTCCATCTCACATACTTTGGGCATGTTGCTAGAGATCAATCCTTGAAGAAGGACATCATACTTGGAAGGGTGGAGGAACAGAGCAAGAGAAGACCCTGAGTAGATGGATTGACACATTAACTGGGCAATGGGAGTAAAGGTCTCAAAGATAGTGAGATAATCTTAGGGTAGGACAGGGTTCAGAGCAATTGTTTATAGGGTCACTCTGAGTCTCACAAGACTCAATGACACACAACAACAATAACAACAGTAAGTACAATTCTTTATTGTAGAATAATGGGGTTGCTGGTTTGTTTATGGCTATGTTTCTAGTATGTGCCATGATGCTTCGTCCGTTAGGTTTGTGATATGGATATATGACTTTTCTGCAGACACCTGAGGAGCCCAAGGTCACTACTAGTCATGTGCCTGTCACTGCCAAAATCACAGTATTACCAGAAAGAGAGCCAATGTGTGTCTTCATTACAGTGTTTCTTTTTTGCTTGTATGTTTGTACAGATCTTTCCAGGCCTGATTCTTTCAGATATAAAACCAGCTAAGAGAATGAAGTTCAAAACCGTTTGCTACCTGTTGGTGCAGCTTATGCACTGCCGGAAGATGTTTAAGGCTGAGATCCCTTTCTCTAATGTCATGACTTGTGAAGACGATGATAAGGTAGGAAAACTTCAAAGATTTCTCTTCTTCACCTGCATTCTGGGAAACCTCAGGACACAGCCTTATTGAGTTTCCAGAGAGTTGCTTTATGGACTTTTCTAGAAAAGTTCTTTAGTTCAATTCACACATACTTGTGTGGCCTGCTTTATACCAACATAACAATTCTTAATAACATTCTTCAGAAAACTGGCCTTGCTAGGTGTTCTGTAGTGTAGGGGAATACCACAGCCTCTTGCCAGCCAGAGGACAGACATGAGAAACCCCTGAGTATCTTGTCTTAAATAAATCAGCTTACTTTGTATAATGTCACACTTCTTAAGTTTATTAAATGAATGGATATTTCTTTTCATAAAAGCCTTTGAACCTAGAAATTCCCCAAAACCAATGTTGATAAACTGTAGACTTGGATCCTTCCAGTAAAATCCAAGTTTATTTTCATATTCTGCCAATAAATAATGAATAAAACAAAGGAAACCATTAATTTTCAATTGCTCCAGATTCCTATATAATACTACATATTAATATCACATTCTCCTCTGCATTTCTAACTCAAGTCTTTTACCTTTCTCCTCAGATGGACTGCTTCTCAGGTTAATTTTGGAGGTACTTTCCATTTTTATAGAAAGTTTCTGATGAAGGGTGAGCTATGTGAGAGGCCTGGCTTCTGAGGGTATTTCTAAGGTCCTGGCACAGAGAAGGTCTGATCTGTAGAGTGAAACTTGCAGAATCTCACAGGTGCCAGGGAGAGGAGAGGGAAGGACAGGCATTGAGGTGAGGGCTGTGTCAGGGATAAGGAAGGTGAGATACCAGAGGGGCAAGTAGGTGGGTCAGGAGAATTTGGAATATCCTGAGCACTTCTTAATTACTGGCAGATATGAGAACTAACTTAGATTGCACTGAGAAGGTCTAGTCAGAGGCTACAGTTTCCCATCCCTGGTTTCAAGGACTCTTTAACTTCTTATGACTTTTCATCCATTATATCCATCAGTAGTTGCAGTATGGATAGCTACTCTAAGCTTTTTTGGAGTAGCTCCAGTTGGTAGTCATCAAAGTAGGATATAGAACATTGTTTTTGTGTAGTATGTTAAGCTAATTGACTTTGCTATCCTACAAGACTGTGGGCCCAAAAGACCCAGCTCATTCCCTTAGAGTATTTGCTTATGGAATAGATTGAGAAATTATGGTACTTTCACACAATGGATTACTATGTAGCACACAGGAGCAATGATTTTGTAAATTATTACCTAAGTTGGGAGGGACTGGAGAGCATTATGCTGAGTACACTAACTCAGTCCCACAAGGATAAATATTATATAAAATCATTATTGTAGAATGAGTATAAGGATCCAAGAAGGGTGGGAGAGGTTGGAAGCAGAGGGATGAGGATGTGCAGGCAAAGGGGAATATATCTTAGGGTTGTACAATTTGATGGGTGGGTGGGTGAGGGAAATGGAAAGAATCTGTTCTTGAAAACGATGTGTTCAAATATTGTAAATAAACTAGTATAAAAAAACAGTAATAACAACAAAAAACCAATAAATACTATAATATGTCTAATCCTAAATAAATAAATAAATAAATAAAATAATTTTTCCTTGCTGGTCATACATATGGATGTATTTACAACATATACTAATAAGAATCTAAAAATATCATGCCCATCACATATCTACCCTGCTAACTTTTTCTATTTTCACTTCCTAATATCTGGTCATTGGAAGCTCTGGAGGCTTAGTCCTAAGGAGTTGTGTTACCATCACAAAGGCACATGGTTTGAATCCACTATGTGCTCTGTGAGATAAAAATGAGCAATCTCCTTTGATGCAATTTACTGCCTCTGAAAACCCACTAGAGGGCCAGCTGTGAGTCAGTCGTCACTTGATAGCATAAAATAACAATATCTGATATTGGTATTATTGAATGATAATATAAGTATATTATTGAACAATACCTTTCTAAAATTTTTAACTAAGAGCCCCAGAACTCTTTTTCACTCTTTTTAAAAAGTGCAACTTTTATCTTTCTCCTCATAATTCAGAATGCCTAAACATGTGACCAGAAAGTAACATGTATATACTAGAAGGCTAATGCAAGTAGGAACATCATTCTTTTCTAGGTCTAACACATATGTTTCTAGGTCTAACACATTGTTATTGTTATCTGCCATTGAGCCACCTGCGACTCATACCAACTGTATGTATACCAACTCTGAAGCCTGCCCTGTCCTGAGCCAGTCTCACTGACTGCAAGACACCTACCCCCATTGCCCCAGTTGATGAAACTTAGTTATTCTGGCATCATGTTATTTTCTAGAAATTGTTCTTTCCTGATGACATATGCAAAATAAGTTACATAGAGTCGCACCATTTTCATATCTAGAAATAATTCTGGTAGTTCTGTTTTGGTGGATTTTGTTGTTTGCTTTTTTAAAAAAAACAAACAAACAAAAAACACCTCACTGGGAAAAGGTCCCTCTATTTGGGGAAACCTGCCTCTGCTGCTGCAGGACCATCCCAGATGCCAAACAGAACAAGAGAGTTTGGGACAGAGAGCTACAAGCAGGGGAAAGACTTGCTCAGCTTTCTCAGCTGACATGTTGAACTGTGAGAAAGAGAGCTGACTTGAAACTCCCCTGGGCAGAAACTGCTCAAGTGGAGCACCTGATCTATACCACTCAACTACTCCATAGACAAAGGAAGACAATAGAGTTTGGGAGGAGATACAATAAGGTGAAATTCCTGCAGGGCTGCCTTGCAGCCCACAGAGAACCTGAAAGACTTTAGGAAATGTATATTTTCCCAGAAAGGACTTTGAGTAGAGTGAAGGATTCACCCCATAGATGATCATCTTAAGCTGACAACTAATCAGTAACATCATAAGGATAAGAACTATGAACAATTTATGCAAACACAACACAAACATCCTACCACTTACCAAGAAAAACTACACATAATGTCAAGAAAGCAGCATATAGCATCAAACACAGTGACAAAACAAATTAAGCATTCTATTCTCAAACAAACAAACAAAACCCCCACAGGATATTGTAGCTCCAATGAATCAGAGTCATGAAGGTTGAAGATATACTTTGATATGGAGGCATTCAACAGCTATGGAAGAAAGTACATATGATGAAAGAAACAATGTCAGTGACAAAGAGAATGCCTTAGAGGTAGATAATCAGAAAAAAGATACTGATACCAAGTTATTGGAACAGCTATAGAAAAATACAACGGAAGTCATTAAGAAAGTGAATACTCCAGAATCAGGAAGTCTGAAGAAATATATCAATGAGGAAGAACTTGCACAACTAAGAAAGAAAATGGAAAAGATAGAAAAAAAAAAGAAACTCTAGATACAGCAGTATGAGAACTTAAAATGTCATCACAAGACAGAGAGGGTGCAGCCAAGACAGTACTAGAAATAACAGAAATGCATGGAAATGCAATCCAGAATATTAAAACTGAAATGGTAAAAGTGTCCAGCACACTGAAGGAACAAAAAAGTAGAACAGAAGATACAAACCAGAAAATCAGTGAGCTGGAAGACAGAGATATCAATGGGAGCATACTAGAAGAAAAATCAGAGAAGAGATATAAAGAAAATGAAGACAATATTAGAATCATATTGGATAATATCAAAAGGAAAAACATATGCATGATTGGAATTCCAGAATGTGAGAGAGATAGATAAATCAGTGATAAAATTGTAGAATAAGTAATAAAAGACAACTTTCCAAGTATTATGAAGAACAGAAAAGTCCATGTTTAAGAAGTTCAGTAAACACCAAATAGAATAGACTCAAAATGAAAAACCATCAAACCATATCATGGCTAAATTCTCCAAAATGAAAGATAAGAATAGAATACTAAAAGCACCATGAGAAAGACAAAGAGTCACCTACAAAGGAAAAGCAATTAAATTAAATTCTGATTTCTCAGCAAAAACCATGTGACCAAGAAGACGATAAGATGACATATACAGAAAGTTAAAAGAAAACAATAGTCAACTGTATCCAGCAAAGCCCTCCATTAACTACAAAGGAGAAACTAAATATTTTGCAGAAAAGAAGGAACTTAAAGAATTTGTGAAAACAAGACCAAATAAAAATTTCTAAGGGAAGTCCTTCATACAGAGACACCAAAAGAAAGTGGAAGGACCATAATTACAAGAAACAACAGAAAAAGAAACACAGTGTAACAGTAGTGATAAAACCTGGCCTGTCAGTTATCACACTAAATATGAATGGACTAAATGCACCAATCAAGGAGAAAAGAGTAGCAGAATGGATTAAAAAAAAAGGGCCAAAAATATGTTGACACATCAAAGAAATAAAGAGAAAGATAGACTCAAAATAAAAGCTGGTAAAAAGATACCAAAAAATGCCTCCATAAAAAATGAAGAGTGGCAATACTAATCTCTGATAAAATAGACTTCAGAATGAAAACCACCATAAAAGATAAGGAAGGGCACTATATAATGGTAAAAGGCACAGTATATCAAGAACACATAACGTTGGTCAACATCTATGCACTAAATAATAAACCTGCTTAATATATAAAACATCTATTAACAGAATTGAAGAAAGAGACAGAAAGCACCACAATAGTGGTAGGAAGCTATAACACCACTCTCGCAAAGGATAGGTCATTGCAAAAGAAACCTAACAAAGGGCAAAAAGACAGGGTAATGACAGGCAAAGTCCAATGGTGAATAATTTTATGAAACATAATACATTAGAATGATTCTATGAAACACATTCTGAATTAAGAATAGTGTGAAACCCAGTGTGTATAAACTTTGTCAGTAAACCAATAAAAAATTAATAAAAAGCAAAATAAACAAAAAAGAAACTTAATAAACATGTAGAAGCCAACTACAAGTATTCCAGGTACTGTACTCAACTAAAACTCAATTCACTTTCTCCTCAAGGGCACATGGTACATTATCCTAATTGAGGACATAATAGGGCACAAAGTAAGCCCTAACAAATAATAATA